AATATTTTATGGGAAGTTAGGTAATATAGCTAACAAAAAAACCATAATTCACTAAGTATCTTCACACCCTCTCTCATTTTTTTATTCTCTCTCTAACCTCTCTCTATAAAAAAATTTCTTTTTTTTCTTAGCTATTTAAAAATAAACCCATATTTTATAATATATTTTTAGAAATTTTACCTATATTAAGAGAACATCTTAAAGTTTAATATAAATATTTTGTTTTTTTGTGATTAACTATTTCCTATAAACTTTAATATTTTATTTTTTTGTGATTAACTATTTCCTATAAATTTTAACCAATATAAATTTAATAAACATAATTATTTTTCACAAAGTTTACAATTGACCATTATTGCTTAATAAAAATTACATTGACAATGTATAAAATGTATATGTTAAAAAAAAATATTTTTCTCTAAAACATATGTCTTTTTGTAATAGAGGAAGTAGCTTTTATATGATTTTTTAAGAAAAAATCTTGTTGTGCAAAATTCGCATTCTAAATAAATATTAAAATTTTAAAATAAATATTTTTATTTTTATAAAATTTAACTTTAGAATTTTTTCTGTAATTTTCTAATTCTTATTTATTTTCCTTATCATTATTTACTGTTAATTTTATTTTTTAATTAAATATAAAACACATACCTACTATTAAACGTTACCGGGTCACAATTCTGACATGATGAACAAGTAAGCCAAGTTGGAGGTTTTTATGATACAAAAGTCAAACTGGAGATTTAATATGCTAGTTAAATAAGTTCAACGTTTATAGTTGGAATTACTTTGATAATATGTGTGGAATTACTTAATATATATATATATATATATATATATATATATATATATATATATATATATATATATATATATTTGTAGTTGAATCATTGTTTATTTTATGTTAATAATGTAGTTTTTAACATAAATGAGATGGAAGATACAAAAGTTGTTTAAATCTTTATTAAAATAATTAATTTTCATATATATTATAATCATATTAAGTAATTCTATACATTCTATCTAAGGAAATAAGGAAAATATTAAGTGTACATTATTAATTAATTTTGTCATTAGTTTAATAAACACTATAATATATATTTAATGGACCAACATATTTCTCTAGGAAATGCTATAATGCACTTTTCATTGGTAAAATGTTGTAATGATTTTCTTTTAATATATAGGGGATTCTTATACATCAATTACATTGATTTTCTTTCCAACGATTTCAAAAAAATAATTTTTTTTTTGAAAGTTAAATTAAATTTTTTTAAAATAAATTCCCTTCAGTTATATTATCAAAATATTTAAAATGATAGTGGAAATTTATTACTTTAAATAAATTTAAATGTTTGCAAATGGATCAGTGTAATTATCATGGATCTAAATAGACAGCCTGTTAGACCTTAAAATTAAATTAGTCAACATGGGTTCATGATTTTGTTTTAATTAACATATGTGTATCTTATATCGAAGAAAAGATTAAACTTAATTTCTAAAAGGAGGTGCAACTCACGGATAAAGTTTCTCTCTAAATATTTAAATGAGTCCTAAAGTATAGCTTATATTCGAGTGGCCACATAGGTGTAATGTAGAGGGATGCTTCAAATCCAGATTGCTGTACTCTCCAAAATGTTCATAATTTAAACAGAGTCGGTCAAAAATGAGACGGTTCAGATGGGAGAGATTTACCTATTTTCTATTTTTTTTTATGTTGGATAATTATGCTATTACAAACTATGAGAAATATGACGGATGATTCAACAGCCGATAATTCTATCTGCCTTATGAGGATTTACACTTGATATGATCATCTGAGCTGTCCTATCAGATCCACCCTAGAAGATACTCCTTACTGCATACTGAAGATCTCTTGTAGCATTTTTTCCTTTAATTCGCATAATTGCGCGTTTTCTGAGATTCGAAACCCAAACCTCCTGGTTTAAAATCATTAATGAATCCTTAGTCAAACCACTAAACCAAGAAGACTTCCACTTTTATATTTGTTTTTTTAGGGTTCGGATTTTTTGCCCATCGGATCCCTAAAAGAAACACATTTGAGATACTGGATTGCCATAAGTCAGTTTGTCACTAATCAACTTTTCTTTAAAATAGTTGAACTTTAAATATTAATCAGAAAGCATTAACAATTTAGCTTACTATTATTTATTCGTGAGAACTCTAAATCATATTCACCATTGTAGATGCTCTGATAAGAACAATAAGATTACTGGTGCTAATGTTATAGTCCACCATATCTCTGCCAAATCTCTGTCTCTCTCCACAGATCTTTGGATTAAGAGTGAGAGGTACATTGTCTCTCCCATTTCTGGTTTTCTGAACATTCCCATTTATTTGATCTTAGACAACTTTGGCTAAATTGTTGGTTTTATGCAGTTCAGTCGCCGTGAACTTGTATAGACTCTTTTTTTGGCTAAAGAATGACTCATTGATAACTGTATAGACACTTCTTTTTTTTTTTTTTGAACTTTATAACTGTATAGATTTTCTCATGAAAAAGTATTTATTTGTGTTGATCCGATTCAGGAATTAATAGTCGGGAACACATTAGATGGCTTTTCTTTGCTAACATTGGACTTATTGATAACATTATATCTGTTACTTTGTAGAGATATATGTTAACTTTGTAGAGATATATGTCTATACAATTGAGAGTTGTGTCTATACAATTGAGAGTTGTGTTTTTACAACAAAGAGTTGTCTTCTTTCAACACACATGTTCATTCTCTATAAATATAGATCAGAGTCTTGTCTCAGAATTCAATTCAATAATTGAGTGTAATACAATAAAAGTAATACTCTGTTTTTTCTTTCATAAAACAGAGCAAGTTAATTATATTCATATTTATCCTTCTCTTTCTTATAACTTGTAAACATTCATAGAATCAACATGGTATCAGAGTCTTGTGGTTGAAAGGGAGAGAGAAATCAATAAAAAAAATTTAAAAAAGAGCTTCTGATAATCAGAAGATTCTGATATTGATAATCACAAATTCACCGAGAGAATTGTCGTTCTGATAATCAGAAGACTTGATATTGATAATCACAAATTCAGATACTGATTACAAATTTCTCATAATCAGAAGACTCTGATATTAATAATCAGAGAAGATAAGAGAGATCGTGACATTGATAATCACAAATAGTGATATTGATAATGAGGAGAAGTTTGTAATATTGATAATCAAAAGAAAATTTCACGATGAAAAATCAAATGATCCCTATTTTCGATGGGGAGAAGTATGACTTCTGGAGTATTAAGATGAAAACAATTCTCAAGACCAGGAAGTTATGGTCTGTGGTTGAAGAAGGCGTGGGAACCCCACCAGCACAAGTGGATGAAACCCCTAAGACAGCAAGGATAAGATCGCTTAGAGAAGGAGCGACGGTGAATGATACCATGGCTTTGCAAATTCTGCAAACTGCCGTATCGGATGATATCTTCTCTAGGATTGCAGCAGAAACAACTTCTAAAGAGGCTTGGGATGCATTGAAGGCAGAGTATGACGGTTCTCCTCAAGTCTATTTGATTCGACTTCAAACATTTCGAAGGGAGTATGAAAATTTAAAGATGAATGAGAATGAAGACATCAAGGTCTTCACAGATAAGTTAGTTGATTTGGCAAATAAATTAACTTATCATGGAGAACAAAAGTCAGACATCCAACTCATACAAAATATACTCATCTCTCTCCCAGCCAAGTTCGATAGCATAGTCAGTGTATTGGAGCAAAACAAGCGATTTGACTTCAACAAAAATGGCAGATTTGATCGGAATTTTGAAGGCTCATGAAGCAAGGTTGGCTGTAACAGAAGAAAGCACAAGTGAAGGAGCATTCATGCTTGTGCTAAAAAGAAAAATTCTGGTGTCAAACAAGACAACTCAAAACGCCGTGGGGGCAAGAAGTGGTGTGGTTTCTGCAAGAAGAAGAATCACAATGAGAGTGAGTGTTTTAGGAAAGGAAGAAAAAGTGTTAAGGCTACACAACGCTTTATATGGTTTAAAGCAAGCTCCAAGGGCATGGTATGGAAGGATAGATTCATATTTTCTTCAAAACAGGTTTGAAAAAAGTATGAATGATGCAGCTTTATACATCAAGAAGCAAAGAGTTGATGTGTTGATCGTGAGTCTATATGTGGATGATATAATCATCACTGGAAGCAATGTTAAGATCATCAACACATTCAAAGAGAATATGAAGAAAGAGTTCGAGATGATGGATCTTGGATTACTGAACTATTTCCTTGGAATGAAAGTAATTCAAGATAATGGAGGCATATTTCTTTCACAAGAAAAGTAAGCAAACAAACTTGTTGATAAGTTTGGGATGCAACACAGCAAGATTGTAAACACTCCACTTATACCACAAAAGAAATGAGTTGATGAGGATGACAAAGAGTATGGAGATCCGACTAAGTATAGAAGCATTGTTGGAGGGCTTCTGTACTTATGTGCATCAAGACCTGATGTGATGTATGCAAGCGCCTATCTCTCAAGATACATGTCATCACCTCGCATGAAGCACTACCAAGAAGCCAAAAGGGTGTTAAGATATGTCAAAGGAAACAATTTGGAGTGAAGTCGAGATATAATTAAGGACGAGTGTTAAATTATATAATCAAATCTCTCCTTAGTACATTTAAATTAGTTAGTTATTATACAAAGAGTTGTGATTCTTCATGTTGTGTCTTTTAGAATGAAAAGATGTGTACAATTAAGAGTTGTGTCTTTACAACAAAGAGTTGTATTGTTTTAAACACATCTGTTCATTCTCTATAAATATAGATCGAGTCTTGTCTCATAATTCAATTCAACAATTGAGTGTAATACAGTAAAAGTGATATTCTATTTTTTCTTTCATAAAAAAAGCAAGTTAATTATATTCATATTTCTCCTTCTTCTCTTTCTTATAAATTGTAACACTCGTAGAATCAACATGTAAGATATATGCAATCTCATTAGTCTTACAAGAGTATCATGGCTTGGGGACATAATGGTTGTCTTTCCATGAACCCCCACATTTATCATGAGGGCTCCACTTGTTATTAACATGGGAGGCCTTGTAGCTTTTCCAGTCAGTAAGAACAAGAGTGAGATCAAAGACCTTGGGGGGAATGTGGCGGCAGCAGTTGGCATGTACCGTGGTGACGGCTCCCATGTCAGGGCTGTCTTGGCAGAAGCCGCTGAATTCGCTGGTGTTGAGGAAGCCAACGTTGAGGCCGAGTTGATTGAATAAACCCGAGTCGAGGAGCTTCTGGAGGACGTCTTGTTCCTTCATGCCGGACGAGTTGAGCCTCATGTCGTACCATTTATGGAAGAGGGAGATGGTCTTGTTGTTGGAGCGGACGTGGTAGAATCCGGTGTTGATCGACTGTACAGCTTCCACGTTGTTTTGGTCGACGCTTATCTGCATATCCAAGCTCCCATTGTTGCTTAGCCGGGAGAAGGGGTTCCTTAGCCACAACACGTCCGTGTCCTGACTAAGAAAAACAAAATCATTACAAAAAATATAGTTCCAAAACATTGCCACCTCTCAAAGATTCTTGAGCAGGCCGAAAACGTCTAGAAACTAACCGTGAAAAGAAGATGGTAGCCGCGGTGGAGGACGTCGAGGAGAAAGTGAGTCCTCCGCCACATCATCTCAATGAAATCAGTTGACATGAATACTTTCTCTCCCTCTAGGTCAGCACCTGTAGTATCCATCTTGTAGCAATGGAGCCTCCTGAAGCGGCAGCGATCATAGGCTGTCTGATCTGTTGCCACCAGCAGCAGATGTTCTAGAAGCGGCATAGTTCCTTCTCCTTCCCAGAAACTTTCCAGGAACAGATCCAGCATCGCCTTCCCTCCTCCAACATCCTCCACATACGCTCTGTTCACAAGAGCTATTATCACCGTATTGTTGTTTCCTGCAGCCGCACTCTCCAACACTGCCTCAAGCTCGTCCAGTGGAAGCTCTATCTTTTTCTGTAACCACTTCAATACCAGTATAATGACTATCATCTTCTATAGTTACTCTAGACTTCAATATATTATGATTAATAAACTTACCACTGGCTGAGGAGTGTTGATATTGTGTAAGAGATTGGAGACAGGAACGGAAATCGAACGTGTGGAGAAGATGATATATAGGACGCCAACAAAGAGGAGAGCAACGGCCAAGGCAAGCTTGCGGGAGGAGTCATTGCAGAGAGGCATGCTTTTGGTTAACGGATTATTAGGCGAACGAAACTCACGTATATGTGACCTTTTTCTCTATTAAGCCCCTTTATTTAAGCGACTGATATACATTAACTTTGTCAACGGATATACACCAATCTTTGGTGATCCCAATTTATGAATGTAGAATATACTGGATATGTTTTGATATGTTTCCTTTTAAAACTTGGAATTTAAATTATACTCATTCATATACACCAAGAAAAGTAATAATTCCTTCTATACTACTAGGTGTTTTCTGCAAATGTGCAGAGCACAGTAGTAAAAACTAGGTGTTAAGATTTTAGATTTTATTATTATTTTACCTACATATTAATATAAATTAGTATTTAATTAAACATAAAATTAAGATAATAAATAATTTTGTTTATTTTAAAGCTGTATTTACTAATAGGTATGTATATGTTTAAAATGATAGTCTTAGATAGATTTTTATATATATTAAATCAACTTGTATAAAGTTAAGAAAAACTTTGATATAAATTTTCATATAATTATCAAAAAGTAAAAATAAATAGTATTTCAAAATTTTGTAGATATCAAAAGGAGATTATGATATTAGGATTAAATGTATATATATATATATATATATATATATATATATTAAACTACATAAAATTATAATAATAAAACTAATTATTAGAAAAAATAAATGAAATAATATTTTAAATTTGAAAACTATTATTATATTTTATTATTATTTTATTTAATGAGATATTTGAATATATTTACTTTAATGATGATTTATCAGTTATTACTATATTAAAAAAGTTTATCAAAAATACAGTGTAATATTAAATGTAATTTTTCTTGTACAATTAGTCATAAGTCCTGTCATAATTATTAATGTTCTATCATTACCATTAAAACATGACCATTACTTTTAATGAATGATTTATGTTTTCCTAAATTACCATTAATCTTATGAACAAATTTAATTTTTCATTAATGGTCTTTCAGTCTTTTTTTATTTGGGCCTAACAACTACTCTCTCCGTTTCAGAATATTTGTCACAAATTAAGTGTTATTTTAGAGTTTTGAGACAAAATTTATTAGTTTTATATAACATTCTATTTTTCTATTGGTTGATAAGTGGTTAGGTGTATAAGTAATTGTGTTTTTATCTTGAAAATATGTAAAATTAAATATTTCCTTAATCTGTGTACAAAAAACCTAGAATGACAACTAAAATGAAACGAAAGAAGTATATAATAGGTTTCATTAATGGGCTGATTCAATCTCTTTCAAATTTTATAAAAAAATTTTCCTGCAAAAATATTTATTTTGCGGGTCAGACATGTCAAATTTTTCAGTCGAAAAAATAATTCAATCCGCTACGGAGCGGGTTGGACGGGGCGGGTTGGACTGAGCGATTGAAATTTTGTAACTAAATTATTTTACGAATTAATCACAAAACTAAAAAAAATGGACCATTTAATTGTTAAATATACAATCTTTCCAAGCACACATTTCAGGTACAACCATTGTTAACTTATTTAGAAACATAAAAGAATTATCTGAGATTTATAAAATAAGAATTTCTTCATACCCGCATAATAACTTGATCTTGATTCTGTTACATTTTTATCATCAAAACAAAAGAATTACCGATCCATCTATAGATAAAACAACAAAAATAGTACCTGTGCTTTTTAAGTGTGGGTCAAAAATCTAGTGTCATCTTATTTTGTTGAAAGTAACGGCATCGACGACACCTAATCAAAATTTGAAAAATACTTCTCAAATAATTCCCTTTATATTAAAGTAGAAGCATTCCTAATAATGTGTTATCACACTATATATTTTTTGAATATACTGATATGTCGTATTCACAATCGTTTGGCAATTAATGCGTTCACCCTCTAATTTTGTAACTACACTGCAGACAATTTAATGTGTTCATATTCTATTTTTTTTCAATCAGCTCATTTTTTGTTCATTCATTTTTGACATTTTTAATAGTAAACTGAAATTAATTAAAATTATCTTTGTACAACTACTGAATAAATATCATTTTAAAAGAAATAAAAAATTCATTAAGATTCAAATCAACTAAAATGCTGGAATGAGAATGTTCTTAAAAAAAGAAAATTTCATATCTTGCCGAACTTGGCTATGGTTGAGGTTTATGTTTACGAAAACAACAAATAATTGTGATTGATTATGAATTAAGGAAACTTAAAAAAAAAAACTACACACGAATTCGGATATTTAGTTTAGCCAAGTATTGATTTTCTTTACGAAGTTTTCATATCATACCAAGAATTAGAAACATAATTATTATTACTAAAAAAATAAAAATCAGAAAAGCTTTAAAATAAAATTCGTTATATCGATTGAAAACATAATTCAGATGCCGAGTGAAGAGATCACATTATTTTACACGTAATTCTATCTCCTTTCGCTCGATTGTATAGTGATTTCACTATAGTTTCTAAGAATTTTTTTTTATACGAAAATACACGTTATTGGTTATAGACGTTAATTTTGCAACATGTCCAACAATATTGACACGACGTTCAATCATTTTTATTATTCTTAAAGTATAGTCTATGATTATGAGTGTGAAATAAGCCAAGATGTTTGTTTTACATTTATTTTTCTTTATATTAGTAGAACAAAGTAAGTACGGGTAAATATATGATGAACCGAACCAAACAATATTATAAAAGTAATATCAAACATGAACTAAAACTAATTAAGTAATCAGATGAATTTAAAAATTTAATATCCACATAACTAGACTCAAACCTAATACAAACTAAACTATTTTGGATATCAAAATATCTAATTCACAATTATATACTTAAATATATTAATTATTTTAAATTTTATATCTATTAGTATTCAGAAATATGAAACTATGTAAAAATTATCAACATAATCACAAGTAAATATCTAAAATAACAGTAAATTTTCAAAATTCTGTTAATATTTATTTGTTCTTATCCAAATATTTAAATTAAAATAATTTTTACGCAAATTTAAATATTTAGTCCTATATTGTTTAAATTTTTATGTTTTATATTATTTTATTGTTTTTAAGGACTTAAGTATATTTGGATTTTTGTTGAAAATATTTATTTAAAATGGACATCCGGACTCGAATCTAAATTGAACTCGAAATGTTTCTAACCAAATGTAAACTAAAATTTGTAAATATTTGTATAAGAGTTAAATTACTAACTCTAAAAATCCAAAATCTGAATAAACTAACTAAATCTGATCAGCTACGACTAGCCACAAAAAAATTTGCAGCGTCAGGCTTGTGGCTATTGTCCTAACGTGGCTATTTGTAGCTACTCTTCCACGACATTGCCATAACACTATTTTGTGGCTAATATCCACAAATAGCAACAAATAGATTTGTAGTTTTATAAACTGCAATTTGCCACAAATTAAGCTGTAGCTCTATCACCAAAAGCCACAAACGACATTGTAACAATAGTTTTGTTGCTAATTTACATTTTTATAATTAATTTAAATACAAAAGAATAATATATAATTGTAAAAATAAAAATATATTTTATATAATCAAATTCACCAATAAAGTAAGATTTACAAATATGTTCATAATCCTTTACTATACAAATTGTAAACAGAAAAAAAAATCCTCTCCTTTTCTTTACAGCATGCACCACCAGTCCTACTCAAACTCACATATGTCAATTTCAAATTCGGAAAAGTGGGTCTCAACTCCTCCACCAGTCCTACTCAAGAAATCAGGAATTCCAACTTTCGCTGCAAGCATCACAAAGGATGAATCCAACAAGATTATTCACGTTTAGCTATTAGGTGCACCAAAAGATGTTGCAACGGTCTTCTGTATATGCATCATTCTTCAAAAGAATGCCACAAATCTCTACATAGCTCTTAGACATAACAAAATACTTAAATTTTAAATTCTACCTAGTAAACCAATAGTTAAAAAATATAATGGTTGGATTTTGTAAAGCTACTTACCGGTAATACTTGGATTGTAAAAAGCATGTGTGAGAGAAAGAAAGCATCCAAACTTAATGGCCTGTTGTGATGTTCACAAAGGAAAACATGGTGAATGTTTATACCAAATGGCTTAAGAGATAAGTATAAGGTATTACGGTTTGGTAAATGTGATTGACGTACCTCTCTCTAAAGAGAAATTTCTGCTCGCCTAATCTAGTCGACAAAGCTTCATATGCATCACTTTCCATCTTGTCTAGCTGTTAATTTAAGACCCTTAAAAATTTTCAAATCTTTTTACAAATATTAACTTATATATACAACACAAAAAAATTAAGAACTGGTACATGTTCTCTCTTTGCTTGGGGTTTTCTTTGGTGATTCCTAAACGGTTATTGGCCAAATACGTCTGGTTATAAAACACGACCTTTCTGATCATCCAAGGTACCACCACATTTCATATGCAAGCACTTGTCCTAGCCTGATAAAATAAGAGCCTTCAGCGAGAGATAACAAAAGAGACTGCTGAGAGTCTAGTTGCCAAACTACTGGCAGTTCAGTTCATCTATAAGTTAAATAATGTAACTTCAGGATATTGTTTACCTTGAGAAGAGTTCTGAGGCATGTAAGAAGTCATATGTTCCAGGTATATGTCAAATGGTCAACCCCTGTGCAAGAATGCAAGGCTTGTTAAAAATAGCCAAGGTCAAAACCTTAATCTCAGTTTAAACACAGATAAAACTTCTTTGTGTTTACGACAATGGCATTAATACTGCTAAATCAAGGGGCAAAGGATAAGAAAACAAAAGTATCATCTCTTTAGAAGTGCTAAAGCTCATACAAAACAACAAACATGCTCATAAATACACAAATACATATGAAGAAGAACTGAGAGCTTTGCTTCAGACTCAACGAAATCAACATACTTCTCATGTATATAAGAAAACATTAACCATTTACCTATGAAAAGGAACAGAATTAGATTTTTAGGTTGCCACGAATTAATTTTCTGAAGTAATGTGGAGATTTAATAGTAG